CGATCGTGCATGGTGCAACACTAGATCAAGCTCAGGCAGGTGCAGCTAGACTGTCGTCTAACGTCTTAGTGATGAACTACGAAGTGCAGCAAAATTATTCTTATGTTCTGACCAGATATGGAGACTTAAGACAGCAGAAATATGGAAGTAACAATTTATTTCAAGATTTTAGTGGCTATTGTCATCTTAATCAACAACAAGTAGCCCGCCATACTCCTCCTAGTTCTCATACTTCTTTGTATTTATCTGCACTTCTCTGTAGCTCGCTGTGCATAATTATATTTCGCTACCGCATTAAAGGTTTCTTTACATCTATTTAATGTGAATGCTATTGTCATGTTATTCATAATTAATCTCTTTAAGAAGATAAAATATTTGCTCCTTTATTCTACTCTTTTTCGTGTTATCTATTTCTTTATCGTCATTTTTTTTCTTCCGCTCTTTTATTTTTCTGTCACACATAGGCAGCTCTCTATAATAAATACAATGTAACTATGTTGTAGTCTCAAGCAGATTGGTTTACTACAGTGTTACCAAATCTCCCGGTTTTTCCAGAAAAATTCCGGATTTTTCCGGGTTTCAGATGATTTTTTTGAATTAACTTTTATTTATTTGTTAATATTTATTTAATAGTTTATGTGCTTTTTTTATCGAAACCAGGGAACTATTGAAACTTATTCGTTCTAGTAAAAGTACTCTATTGTAAAACAACGTATTAATTAAAAGTGGAATTTATAATTTATCACTTCTCATATATTTAGTTTATTCTATTTTGAATTTTTATGTTGATTTTCTTTTGGTATATTGAAACATATGTTTTTTGGAATAATAAATGGTATAATGGAAAACAAGATATATAGAAATTTATTTTAGCTAGTAAAAATTAACTGTTAAAAACTTTTCAGAATTTAACAAAAACGCTTGCGGAGTTTTCCTGATTTTGACATTCAAATTCCGGTTTTCTGACTATGACATCTAGCATCACTGGTTCACTATCAACTGTCTCCAGACTTCATTTTATTTTACGTGAAGTTTATGCATAATTATATGTAGCTTAAACCGCCACATCTAAAATCATTGTAAGCGCTTTCGAGCGGAACGACAAATAAACTTCTGTTCAACCAAAAAAATATCTTTAGTTATTATTTAAAGAAAGCTTGAAAGTATATCAGCAATATCAAGTCGTATGGAACAAAGACTTAAAAATAAAAGCAAACACATTGAATAATCAACCAAAAGGAGTTGAAATGAACTACACTTCTTTTATAAAACAAGAATGTGAGTGTAGGTGACTGTTAGAAGCACTTTTATGATGTTTGAAAAAATGATGTGGGTACGTTCCTTCTATAGAGACACCTATCCATCTCACATCCTCACCTCTTGGACTAAATATTACATAAAGAGATAATAACCAGAAAGAAAAGTATCCGTTGTCGTTGTACAGCATTTCAACGGATCCATATACTCTACAAGATACTAATATATTTTGTTTCATCTGTATTTTTGTTTCGAAAGTCAGTAGCAAAATCCGAGAAGTTGAAAGAGAAAGTAAATTTTTATCTGAATTCGTTCTGACGACGTCATTGTAAGGGCGGTAAATGTGTGTATGGTGATGCTTATTTTTATAATGATGTCATTTAATCTTATCTTTCTCAAAATGTGACAAAACACATACATGATATCATATATATATATATATTATTCATTTACATTCACTTGTATCATATAAATCTTCAAAATAAGAAGAAATTCATAATAACAATAGCTAGGCTTTTCTTCTAAATTTTCCTAGTAAGTGTCAAATAATCTTGGTAAGTAGCTTTGAAGATTAGTTATTATATTTATCATGCATAGGATAGGAAAAGTAATGGTAAGAGCTTATCAATTAACATTATATGACTTATTATCAATTCGATCACAGAATCTAGTCATTTATATAGAAATTGAATCGATGACAACTAGTTGATACGTATTGTGAAAAGGTTTTTTTAGGCATGCACCAATCCTATAAAGTCGATGATTATGATGAATAGTTTTTGCTATGTAAAACATCTACTCTTTACCAATTCTTCAAGTCATTTAAACGCACCATCAATCAGACTATACAACGCTATCGTCAAACTTGGAAAAATTGGACGGAAAGGAAAAAGGTCTGGAGATGACTGGTAAAAAACCGAAAGTTTCCGATTTTTTATCAGTCACCCTCAGTCCTTTTTTCTCTCTCGCGCACTCAACAGGTATTTTCCGTTTCATAGGTTATGGATAATTCCTTCTTATGCCTTCTCTCCACCGTATAAATAGCTGCTTGTGTAGCCACAATAAAGAAATAGAAATCTGTTTAATAAAAATATTCACGTTTGAATATTAAATAGTTAATTCTGAAGTAATTAATCTATTAAACAAATTTATTCATTTTTCAGATAAATTAATTCCAAAAGATCGATGACTCAACCTTTAGTCTCAACGATAACTCTTTCCAAATCATGTAGAATATGTCTCGATAATGATGATCAAAATGATTTGATTCGTCCATGTTTATGTTCTGGTGGTTCAGCATATGTTCATAGAAAATGTTTGAATAGTTGGCGATCAATGAATAGAAATGGTCGTGGTTTTAAATCTTGTGAAGTTTGTCAATTTGAATTTGTTATTGAACCAGTAATAGATGATCCATCGGCAGATAAGAAAAGATTAATAATATATCGTTTATTAGTTTCTCGTGATATAACATTAATTATTTTATTAATTCAAGCATTTATTTTTGCATTAGCATTTTTAATGCAAGCTGCAGATAAACAAGATCGTAAAATTCAAAATTTATATCCTGATTCATTTACTTATTTTGGAACTTATTATTTAAGTAGTTTAATAATCTTTTTCGCTCTAGTTGGTTTCTTTGGTTTAATTGGTTATTGTTGTGGATTAATGAAAAACGATAATTATAACAATAATAATTGTAATTGTACTGGTGTTCAATGTTTTTGTGTAGGTACGAGTTGTAATAACTGTGACTCAGGTAGTGGCGGTGGTGGTGGCAGTGGTGGTGAAGGTATTCTTGTAGTAATACTAATTATTGTCGTGATATTTGCTATTATTGGAGTATTTGTTGGAGTTATTCTTAGTATAATGATAGTAAAAAGTATAATGGAACGTCATGCAAAACGATTATGGTTACGACAAGAAGCTAAAAAATATATTGTGAAAGATTTCGAAGGACAATTAGATCAATTACGCCAAATATCATCACAACGTCAAATTACGATTCCAAGAAATCCAACAAGATTCAATACAGTTGGTAACAATACAAATAAAATAATGCCATCGGCACCACTTCCATCTGTATCAGTAATTACATAATAAACTAATCAAATTCGATATTTTTATAAAAAAATTAATTAAAATAAACTGTAATTATTAATAAATGAATAAATAATTTACTTTGAATCAGAGATCGGCGGGACGGTACAAAAAAATCCTTGTCCCGTCGATTTCTATATGATACATAAATAATTCTTATAGATTAGAAAACTTGACTGTAATGTTAAAAATGATGAGAAACGAATTTAGATTACAAACGTTTTTTTATTATTATCGTATACGTCTTATTTAACATTTATTTATCCTCTTCACATTCTCTATTTCTTTTTTATTCTTTCTTTGATAAAAAGAATAAATTATCTCTCTGCAGAAGTTGTTTCATGGTTTACGCCGAGTGTTTAACAATTTATTACTTATCGTTTTCTTTTACTACCAAATGGACAAGTTACAATCTTTCATGGAATTTTATCAACACTATTCATCTATTATCAAAGTAATATATTCTATTTCAATTACTCACGAGAATGTATTGTTTCTATTCGTGAATGTTTACAATATTTGAAAAATATATGATTCATTATTTTGCAATACAATCATAGAAGAATAAGATGTATGACATGCGTTTCGTGTCAATAAAAACAAAAGAGAATGAAAAGTAATGCGTTGAATTCTTTCAAAATGTAAAGGTATAAAATATGTATACAAACTGTTTTTAAGTTTATTATTTCGACACACAAAATTGATTGAGTAAGTGTAAAATATTTGTTGGTTATATTGTAAAATAGAATGATCAGTGGAGATAACTGTAAAAGGAATATAGTTTTCTCGTGACCAATTTTAATAGAACTAGAAAGTACCAAATCTTTGAACTTTCGATAGGATATCTAAGTTGATGTGGAACTTCATGCCTAGAATTGTTATCGCTCCTTTTTGTTCTTTGTTCCTCTTCTTTCACAAAACAATAATCATCGTTCTCTTCATAATATTCATTCGTTAAATACTCAAAGCAGTGGTGGATCTAGGATTTTGGAAGGGGGGGGGGGGGGGGGAACGATTTTTTTTTGAGTATGGAGGGGCGATACCTGGAGAGGGGGGCCCGGTTTTGGTTAGAAGCTATTTTTTGAGTCCAACCGAAGTAGTGTGAACCTATTTTTTCGTTCATTTTTGCTGTAAAAAATCAAAAAAAAATTCGGAAGGGGGATCACCTCCATCGCCCCCCTCCTCCTAAAGCCGCCACTGACTCAACGATATCACTAGTACGTGAGCACTATTAAATTTAAATATATAGATTATTCGAAAAAAAACTGTCAGTCCATTTTTTCATGATTGTACATTTATTTTAGTATTCCAGTGAAATTTGATGATGTCTATCATAAAGATAGATGAACAATCAATGCAATGTAGAATATGTTTAGATACTGATAATCCAAATGATTTAATTAGTCCATGCTTATGTAGTGGCAGTTCGGAATATATTCATCGTGAATGTTTAAATCGTTGGCGATCAGAAAATGCTGATGGAAGAGCTTTCAATTATTGTAATGTTTGTCAATTCAAATATGTAATTGAAACTGTTATAAATGATCCAAAAGCTGATAAACAAAGACTTTTAAAATATTATCTATTTGTTACTCGTGATTTAATATTGATTACTTTATTAATTCAAATGCATATTATCGGTGGAACTTTTGTATTAAAAGCCCTGGATAAGAATAGTAATAATATTAAAAATTTATTTGCACATTCAATCAATGAATTTGTAATTTATTATTTAAGTGCGTTTGTAATGTTATTAGCCATTTTAGGCTTTTTATGTTTAATTATTGTTTGTTGTGCTGGTGGTTCGAATGGTTGTTCATCGGCTGGAAGTGGTTTATTCAAGAATAGTGGAAATAATGGGAATGGAATATTTTCTGTCGTTATTATTATGATATTAATATTTGCTTTTATCGGTATATTCGTTGGAATATTTTTAAGTTTTATGATTTTAAAGAAAATAATGAAAAATCATACTGAGAAATTATGGTTACGACAAGAAGCAGAAATATATGTTATACAAGATTTTCAAGGAAAAAAAGATGAACTAGACAACTATAGAAGAAACTTAAGTCAACACAATCTTGAATGAACTGAAATTTTGAGCATGCCATATATTATTTATGTAGTATCTTGAGGATGTGGGTGCGAGAGTAGCTTGGTACTGGTGTAGACTCTGATAAAGATTCACACCAACACCTACACCCTCAAGATGCTTTATTGTAAACGACTGCTAATTACTTTATTGATTTTCAAGATAATTACATCCAGCGACGTTTGTATACTCAAATATACGATACATTTCTACATTTCAGTACAACTTCTTTTTTACCAATAAAAATAATCAAATTGTTTCGAGAGACTATTCGTATTATGAGCATTCACTGTATCACTAACATTCACACCAAACAGTATCGCTGTACAGCTGCGATACCTCGTTGAGAGAAGAAATTGTTTGTCAGTATTAACAGGAATATCATGCATTCACAACAAAGTCAGTAGTTTGAGATGTGTCGCTCTACATCTGTCGAATATCATTGACGCTGTGTGCATAATGAAGAAAGAAAAAATTGTTTGTCAGTATTATGAAGAATATCATGCATTCAGAAGAAAGTCACTAATTTGAGTTGTGACGCTGTTCAGCTGCCATCCATCGTTGCGAGAAGCCTAGTTTCAATGATTAATGCTCTGTGACTAAAGAAGATAAAGGATGTGGGTGTGGGTGGTTATTGTTAGCGCTTATCATACCCATACCCACCCTCAAGATTTGGGTGGATCATTGTTTGGGAGGATAATAGATTAATTGTTGTTAGTGAACCTATCAAATCATTACCGAAACGTTCTTCAAAACACAATCGGACGGATAAGAATGCTGTTTTTTAATGAATTTCTGTATTTCAATTAGAAGTTGTTATCTGCACAGATAAGTTTCTGTCATAAAAAATCTTTTTTTTTCTAAATAAAATGTCATGCACTTGCAGAAGCGTGATGTTAATCAACCTAATTATCTTTATATCATGATTTGTTTTACAGAACTAGTGTCTATAAACAAAAACTAGCAGGAATATCTTTACGAGCGTGTTTATGTGTGTGGTTATCGATAATAAACGAGAAGAATACAAACACCCACATCCTCAATTATTTATATTTATGCCAAAAAAATTTCTCCTACGAATGTACAAAATACAGGAATGATAGTTTGTTCAATGGTTGCACGTATTGGAGCATTTTCAAATGATAATTTAGTATGAATAGAAATTTAAAGAAGATTTTACTTTTAATAAGATCATTTTAGACAAGTTTATCGATGCATTTACCAGTACTTTTGTATGGCAGTGCATCATTTATTGCAGCTATGTTTGCTCTAATGTTTTCTGAAATATTGAATCAATCATTACTTCAATTAGTAGCCGATGTTGAATAAATGAAGTACAACAGATTTATTTGTATTGAATATATTTTATATGTATTTTTGTTTATTTAGTCGTAGAACTTCTCGAACGAAATAATTCGTTAATTATGATAATGAATTAAAAGAGCATTCACCGAATTTATATGCTAATAATATTAAATCATCAGTTAGTATTGATCCTGATCGATATAATAGAGATGAAGTGAAGAGATTTTAGATGTTATCTTCAAATAAATATTACAATATTAACTTTTACTTACACATCTTGAGGGTGTGGATGTATGTGGATATGAGTATGATATCCAACATTACCCATACTCTCAGTTCATTTTTTAATTAATTCATCACATTTCAAAATTAATACAATTCTCATGTCAGCTGTGACAACAAGGATACATTCCATTTGAAATGCACATATTACTGTTTTCATGATCGTTTATCCTTCAAAAGTAACTTCACTTTGCTATGGATTTTCCATTGTATGTATTTTGAAATATTATACTGAAGCGAAATATCACGTGTGAGTTCTATATGTTAATCTCAAAGGGACGAGACTGGCAAACTTTTTAGCAGTAATACAAAAGTATCAGTATTTTATTAACGTTAATGTTAAGGCAACGTTCCTGTGTAAGAATATCAATAAGTTGTCTCTTCTTTTCTTGCAAGTATATCCTTTTTATAAGATGTTGGAAGCACTAAGTGACTAACTCGATAAATAAGCAAAGGTTGGTGTGTGTTAATGTTTTATTTCAGAGAAATGAGGAGTATATATTGCATACGAACAAATGCGAAGCTAAACAATGACTAGACAGTATTACAACGCGACACTGATACAAGCAGAAAGATGATGAAACGAGAAAGTAGAATTGAACAACATGAAGAGAACATAACGAGAAGATATACGCGAGAGAAAAGAAGAGAATGATGTGCATCATTCCCTAAACATTTCTATTGAAAAAATTATCATAGTTTCAGTTTTTCGAGTGTACATTAAAGTTTTTCATTTGTAACTCATTTCGAATCAAGGTGAAATCCAATTATGTCTGAATCATGGGCATTATTGTAACGCGTCTACTTTTGCACTTTTTAAAACAAAACATAATAAACTGAACCAAAAATGGTACTGCAAATTTCAATACTGTAATCAAACCACCAACTAATCCAATTAGAGTTGTAACAATGTATATTGCACTATTCTTCGACGTAACAGTATAACTGCAATATGATGGTTGACATTCACTGTAATAGTTTTCATAAATGCTTGATGAATTCCATTCTTCAACCATTAATTGATCAAGAATATCTATAATTGTAGAATTTTCCAAAAATAGGGTCGATAATGATATATCAAGAGCTTTTACATTCATAAGTGAATATACTACAAAATATGATTGTAATTTATTGATACAGGTTTGGTTATAAAAACATTGAAGATTAGATTGAAGTGACGCTTCAATTATATAACATCCCGCATACAGACCCGGAACAGAGAATAATAAATTATAATTACTGAATAATTCGTAAATTGCAGTTTGATTAATGCATGTGCCTGAAGAAGTACATGTACAATTACCGTATGAGAGTGGACTTCGAACCATAGCACCGTTCGATTCTTTAAGGTTGTAATTAGTTAGTCCACCACTGAATAAGCTGTTACTTTGAGTTGTGTTTCTTATCATAGCAAGTGATAACAAAAATTGATTTGTCGTTGATGATATGAATTGAGAAATAAATGCTTTAGTTTGTAGTTGAAATACATTTGAAGGTGTTACATATGCACTTACATATTGACTTGAATAGAATTGAGCTAACTGACTCAATATTGTTTGATTAACTAATGTGCAAAATGCACTTATAGTTTGAAATAAATATGTACCTGAAGATCGAAAATCGTATACATATAGGCTATAACCTCCAGGCGAAGTAGCAAGATAATTGATCCATTGTTGTGTTACAAAATCACTATGACACACTTGATGTAATGTGTATTGAATTTGAATAAACTTTTCATAGTTAATTGATATTTGTGTGCATTCACAAGTTAATGCTTGACTATATGAGTTATAGAGTTGCTCATATTTTATAATAGAAGGTGCTTTGATATTAACTGTTTCTGTAATATTTATCAGTGACGTATACAAGAGAAGAATAGATAATGATATAACTAATACGAAGATGAATAATCTTGTTGAAATGCGTTGGTTTCGAAGTTGATATTCATTGATAGTTGGTGGAACCGACGGAAATAAATTGAGATTTAAAAAGGAAAAATTTGTTTTTTGGTATAATGCTCGAACGCGTTCATTGATGGTCATCACTTGAAAAAGAATTACAAAAACAAAGATTTAGCTTATATAGAAGAAACAAATGATTAATTTCTGTAAAAAAAGATTTATAAGAAGTGTTAATGTACAGCACTAACAATTCGATTTTCCCCACTCCGTTCAATATACTATAATAATTATTAAGTGCACGATGACGATAGAAATGATTGAGTAAATATGTGGGTGTGGGTATTGGTGTACAAAGAGAGAAAACTGATGATCACCCACCCACATCCACACCTGCACCCGAACAATTAACATAAGGTATTGTACTAACCACAGTATATATATCTCAATTCTTATCCTGGCTTATCGGTTCATAAATCCTGAGACAAAGACTCAGAAGTTGAATAAAAGTAAAAACACCAATGGTATTAGTGTGTTCTTTAGCCAAAAAGAAATATTTCTATTGCTCACATTATTACTTTCTATTATGTACACAAAAATGTTTCCAGTTTCATCTTACCTATCTCTGCTCTTCGAAATTCCTTCTTTCTTCTAACCAACTTGACCAAGAATGGTACTACAAATTTCAATACTGTAATCAAACCACCAACTAATCCAATTAGAGTTGTAACAATGTATATTGCACTATTCTTCGACGTAACAGTATAACTGCAATATGATGGTTGACATTCACTGTAATAGTTTTCATAAATGCTTGATGAATTCCATTCTTCAACCATTAATTGATCAAGAATATCTATAATTGTAGAATTTTCCAAAAATAGGGTCGATAATGATATATCAAGAGCTGTCACATTCATAAGTAACGATTCTGTAGAATATGATTGTAATTTATTAATGCATGTTTGATTGTAAAAACATTGAAGACTAGACTGAAGTAATGATTCAATTATATAACACCCCGTATAAAGACCCGGAACAGAAAATAAGGCTCTGTCGTTCAATAATTCATAAATTACAGATTGAGTAATGCATATACTTGAAGAAGAACATGTACAATTACCATACCAGCGTGAATCTGAAGTTACAGTATAATCAGATCCTACATAGAATTCGAAATTATTTAATTCTCCAGAGAGTAAAGCATTGCTTTGAGTTGTATCTCGTATCATGGAAAACGACAACAAAAAGTTATCAGTTGTCGATGATATGAATTGAGAAATAAATGCTTTAGTTTGTAGTTGAAATATATTTGTGGGTGTTACAGATGCACGTACATATTGACTTGAATAGAATTGAACTAATTGATTCGATATTGTTTGGTTCACGAGTGTACAAAACGCGCTTATAGCTTGAAATGTAAATGTACTTGTTACTCGAAAGTCTTCGTAAGGTAGTACACTGATTCCAGATGATGTGGCAAGATAATTGATCCATTGTTGTGTTACAAAATCACTATGACACACTTGATGTAATGTATATTGAATTTGAATAAATTTTTTATAGTTAATTGATATTTGTGTGCATTCACAAGTTAATGCTTGACTATATGAGTTATAGAGTTGCTCATATTTTATAATAGAAGGTGCTTTGATATTAACTGTTTCTGTAATATTTATCAGTGACGTATTTAAGAGAAGAATATACAATGATATAATTAATAAGATGATAAATAATCTTGTTGAAATGCGTTGATTTCGAAGTTGATGTTCATCGGTAGTTGGTGGAACAGATGGAAAGATATTGAATGTTAAAAGGTAATGTTTTAATTTGTATAATATGCTGTGATTCGGTTCTTGTACCAATGTTTCTTAAAAAATGAAAGAGTATTAGAAAAGTTAAGGTGATAGACCATTAAACGAACATAAAAAGTAGTCTACACAATCTTCTGTTTATGAAGATATTCTGAACTCTGGACAGATTATTAATCTTTCAAATTATTTAATTGAAGTTGACTGTAATGTATCTATAGTTAACTATAGCTGTGAAATATATATCACAATATTCCTAGTTACATCACGGTGGAAAAGTGATATTTTGTTAATTAACTTTTCTCTGCCGTGTTCATACTGGTAGACAATTGCGAATAGTGAGATAAAAATTGATTATTTTCTGTGACTTCCAGACATCATATGTGAGTCAAGTAAAGCCTGGCTACATGTACAACACAATGAGACAAACAACCCTTTCGCAGAACTCGAACTCTGCAATTTCTTCTATCTGAATAAATGTTCTATTCTGATTAGACTAGAAAAGACATCTATATTTTAGAGTAGTGCGCGAGCCGAATATTATCGAGTTTAAAATGAATAATAGTGTTTACCTCTAAGGATAGAAAGGACTATTTATGTATATAATAGTATTTTTAAGAAATAGGTACGTTAATTATTGGATATCAAAGAAATATAAGTTGATTTGTTTAAAGCTTCCTAATCAAATATTTCTCTTCTATTCTCTGCACTCTAATGATAAGATATAGAAACGAGAACATATCAAGTAAAACTGTAAGAACATGCAGATTTTTGTTGATCAAAGCAACAGCTGATTTCAACTGAAGTATACATTGGAAGTTGTAGTTTGTGAAACAAACACACTTTGCAATGACTTTTGTTTTGTAGAATGGGTGAATACTTAACTCACGAGCTATGTACGAGTTACAAATCGTGTTCACCAACGGACGGAATTTAATAAAAATGAGACAGCTAGTGAAAATCTCTAACAAACATAAAGATTAAAGACTTATATGTAGCACAAAATGGAGGTATAGATAATCATAACCCTCAGTATAGATCATGGTAGAGATGTTATAAACTATTGCTATGTTGTCTACTCAACTGTTGTATGTGATATCGAATTTCACTTAAAGAATACTGATTTTGCATTATTTCACTAAACAAATTAAAACGGCATTTATACCCATTTAAAATCACCTCCTCTTTTCTCTCTACATTCTATCAGTTGGATGCGCATACATTCTATGTATAACACTGTTCGAGTTATTTTCATCTCTTACCAGCTTCTGTTTTTACTTCTTTGTGTATGCATTTCCTTACGAAGTTGACTAAAATAGGCACCATCAATTTCATTACTGTAATTAAACCACCAACTAATCCGATCAGAGTTGTAACAATGTATATTACACTATTCTTCGACGTAACAGTATAACTACAGCCTGAAGGTTGACATTCACTATAATAATCCTCATATATACTTGATGAATTCCATTCTTCAACCATTAATTGATCAAGAATATCTGTAATTGTTGAATTTTCCAAAAATAGGGTCGATAATGATATATCAAGAGCTGTCACATTTATAATTGTAGATGATCCCAAGTATAATAGTAGGTTATCTATGCAGGCTTGATCGTAGAAACATTGAAGACTAGACTGAAGTAATGATTCAATTATATAACATCCTGTATAAAGACCTGGCAAAGGAAACACTTTCGTGAAGCTCGGATAATTAATAACTGCATATTGACTAATACATGTAGCTGAAGAAGAACACATACAATCACCATCCCATGAAGATTCTGTAACTAGATTATTATCGTTTTCGTTATGATAGAATCTATAATTAGTGAATTGTGCAGAGAGCAAAGCGTTGCTTTGAGTTGTTTTTCGTATCATGGCCAGTGATAACAAGAATTCATTAGTTGTTGATGATATGAATTGAGAAATAAATGATTTGGTTTGTAGTTGAAATACATTCGAAGGTGTTACATATGCACTTACATATTGACTTGAATAGAACTGACTTAAACGATTCAATATTGTTTCATCAACCAGAACACAAAGTGTATATAGAGCTTGAAATGTAAATGTACCCGTCAGTCGAAAGGTATCATAAAATGAGGTACCATGTCCAGGTGAGGTGGCAAGATAATTAAACCACGTTTGTGTAACAAAATCACTATGACACACTTGATGTAATGTATATTGAATTTGAATAAACTTTTCATAGTTGATTGATATTTGTGTGCATTCACAAGTTAATGTTTCACTATATGAGTTATAGAGTTCTTCATATTTTATAATAGAAGGTGCTTTGACATTAACTGTTTCTGTAATATTTATCAGTGAAGTATATAAGAGAAGAATAGATAATGATATAATTAATAAGGAGATGAATAATCTTGTTGAAATGCGTTGAGTTCGAAGTTGATGTTCATTAATAGCGGGCGGAACAGATGGAAATAAATTCAGATTAAGAAAAAGAAACGTTGCTTTGTAGTATAGTTCAGAAGCAGATTTTGTATTGGCTGGCACTAGAACGAGATTTATAAATATTTTAACTCTTAGTCTAAGATAAAGCAGCATTTTTGTGAGAGTATTTTAATTTAATTAGGATTAAAGTTCGTTTACTGTTAAATCTAATAAGTAACGTGTTAATAAAATAATGATGTGAATGTTTTTAGATATTTATGAATAATAATGCAATATAGTAGTATCGAATAAAATGTCGTTATTGTAACAATAGTACTCATACTAATCTAACATGTCAAACAATAGAGAGTCAATGAGCTCACGTTTTTTGTATTCGATAAGTTTAGATTCGAGTATTTGTTGACTAATATATGGTAATTTCTCTGTATATGATCAAATAAATAATGAAAAATTCATTTATTATGTATTTTTAGAGGAATAGTCAGTGTAATTTTACATTCTCCTATCTTTCTTGACTTAACTCTATTTAGAATCGATGTCAAATAGGGATTAAGTCGTATGTTAAATTCAAACATGGACTGCAATTCTAGTTTGAAATAATCAACACCTTTAGATTAAACAGCCGTACGTTCAAAACATTCCTTCTAATCACATAATCAAATTCATGATCTTCTTAGAGACTTGAGAAAATTGCTGAAAATGTATTCTAAATTCATTGTTAAATTATTTAGTTGGCATATGATGAGAATTGGCACATCTAAATTTCAGAGACAACGGTTCTTCGCAGAAAAGCAACGGTTAAGTAGAGGATTTTGGCTGAAAATTAACGAGTTTCTTGTAGAAATCAGAAAGCTATTTAATTGTCTTGTTTGAAAAACAATTGAAAATATCATTGACAGAAATAACTCTCATTTTCTTACATTAAGTTAGCAGGGAGTGGGAGTGTATCTGTGTGTGCATTAGAGACAATCACAATACATACACCCACATCCAAGAGAAAGATCTATGGTGAAAGAATAAAGTTGGATTAAGGAAACAGTATTATCTCGGAGAAAAAATCTTATTCGAGATCTTAGTTTAACTGACTTCAGAATAAAACTAAACTTATGAAAAATGATTCATAGAAACATTTACAAGAAAATCGCCACTTAAAGCAGAAATCAGATGAACTTGCATTTATTTACGAAAAGAAAATATATAAAATACATACTGTTGATTCCAATAGATAATTGATTCTGCGATGTGTAATTGCAGATTGATATGCTTGATAAATACCACTTCAACGACAGTGGTCGCTACACCTGAAGATTAATAAAGGAAACAAATGAAATATCATTATTTTCATATTAAAAACGTTAATAAGATAAAAACTATTGGACTCATTAACTATTAACAAAAAATTACGAGCAGTAGCAAATGTGTCTATTCTTTTTAATTTTTATAAGAAGAATATAACTGCGATGCAAAAACTCATGTGAAGAATTTATCGGTTATCAATTAAGGATGATGAGAAAAATATCTTTTTTAATTTATAAACCTAAGTGGACAAAAATATGATTAATAATATTTATCAAACCAGCAAGATCCACACAATTGCTGCACACTAAAGTTAGATTTGTGAATTTTTCGAATTAAGCCTAGTCGACTGTCTTAAGAAGATTGAAATCAAGTCAAATCTTAAGTAACTGACTTTAATTTTGTTTTCGTTTTATAATTTAATTGTTTATTAACGTAATAGAAAAGACTTTACGTCAGTTCATCATTGCATATTCATATACTTAACATTTGTCATATTATTTTTACTACCCTGACTTTGTGTTATTGAAGTATAAAATTTATCAGGAGTAAAGTCTACCATCTTATCTAATTAATTCCGAATTCTAAATAAAAAATGTAAACTTCTCAGACAAGAGAGACCTATAGAGTTCAGAAAGAGCAAACTCACTATCACGAGCATCAGTTTAATTCAGCACACACATCTTCCCAACATTACAAATGATAAAATAGTTCAGAACGACTGAACAAAAGAAACAAACTCACCATATTCTAAATCTCACTTACGCCCACACCGACACCCTAGTATCCCTACTAGACTCTATTAGACTCTACTAGTCCCTGGTATCGTCATCAGTTCCCTCAAGTGCTTAGTATGCTCCCCTGTTCCAACTAGACTATAGTATCCCTAGTAGACTCTATTAGACTCTATCAGTCCCTAGTATCCTCATCAATTCCTTCTAGTGCCTAATATGCTTCTCTTTTCCTTATGTTCCCTAGTATGCCTACTAGAGCCTAGTATCCTTACTAGTAGCTGTAATTCTATAGTATATTCTTGTCTTTGAAATGATAAGTCATACTCCTAAACGCATTTAAAAATGGGTTGCATGTAATATAGAATTCATTATTTAATCTATTCTAAATTATGCTGGTGTCCCTTTAGAAAAATTTCATTTCAATCATATATACATTCGCGTTTCATAAGAATAGGTCTATAAATTATTTGTTAATATATACAGCATGATAAAAGACTCAGATATCTCTGGTACACATCGGCCAAAATGCGCTGTAGTTTATAGTTGTGATATAGGTGTCTGTAGAATCTTTTTGTGCAAGATTCTTGGATATACCTCTGTGGTCATGGAGAAAGTTTTTCATCAATAATGATTGTTTATATGCTACAAACTCAAAAAATTGTTTCACGATAATCCACACATATTCGTAAGACTATGCATCAAATAGTTAAGAATATCAAAATCAAATTTATTATATGTATAGTAGTAAATACAAATTAATCTATAGGATAATTTAACTTAACTATTGGAATCTATATTACAAGTAACGCATAGATCCCCTGGACCTCGCTCGACTCAATCCTGAAAGGAACAACAAATGTACTGCAAACACGACAACGTTAGAGCACTAAGTATATGATATAGTGAGATTAGGCAACTGAAGAAAGTTATTATACGGGAACCACTCAGGTCGTATTGGCATGCTTTGTTATCGATGAATACAAAAGACATTCATGACACAAAAAAGTTCATCTACTCTATCACCCAAAGTTTCTTCCAAAACCATCAATGACAAAGCCCTGTCACGAAGCTTTCCGCAAGTTGACGGATCCTCTTCCCATTACTATAACTCCACCCATTATTACATCACACACCTCGATTCCTAACGCCACCCACGACTTCATCCGACATCAGGGTCCCTAACCACACCCATAATTTCACCCAACATTAAGGCCTTTACAACTACCGGTAATTCTGTCAGACGTTAGTCATACTTTTATAGAAACTTACTAGCAGAGACCCGTGCAAAACGCACGATAGTTTTTATGAAAATGAGTGTTTTTCACAAAAGGCAAGTCAACTATCAACGATGCGCTCAAACACTAAATCGATCAGTCTCACTCTATGTCATGCACTTCCAATCACTTCTACCTCCGCTCACCCACTCTAAGCCTATTCTGCCGACTCCCACCTATTCCCATCCACTTTCACTCGATCTTACACTATTTCAACCACTCCACCTTCTTCCATCTATTCTCACCCACTTCTATCCTGTTTCACCCATTTCCACCCACCTCACTCATTCTCACCTAGTCCCGTCCGCTTTTACCCTATCTCACCCATTCCACCTACTTCTACCCTATTCTACCCACTTTTACCTTATTCCACCCATTCCTACCCTATTACACCCATGTTCACTCACTTCTTTCTTATTCCAACTACTTCAACCTTATTCTACCCACTCTCAAGTTATAAGGATTGCTTGATGTGTTGGCGGTGAAATCTAATTGGTTGAAAAAATTGACCAATCAGACACCGGACAAACAGAATAATTTTTGTAGCCCCAAGTCATCCTTTCAGGATTGAGAACCAGTGGCGAATTTTGGAAGGAGGGGGTGATTTGTTTTTTGAGTATGGAGGGGCAATTTTGGCTAAAAGCTATTTTTTGAGTCCAATCGAAGTAGTGTGAATCTATTTTTTCGTTCATTTTTTCTGTAAAAAATCAAAAAAAATTCAGAAGAGGGGCGCGATCACCCCCATCGCCCCCTTCTCTAAATCCGCCACTGTTGAGAACAATAGTATTTGATTATAGATCATGAATATTAACAACATTTAAATGAAGAACATATCCTAGTGAAACATCTTCCTTACTAGATCTTTCACTTGAGTAGAGAGAGTAATAAAAAAAAGTGTGCTATTGGAAATGTTAATAACTATCTCGTTAAAATTTTGTTAGAATTAAAATTGAATTGAAAGCAATGGATTATAGATGAATTAAGAATAAAATTTACCTAAGAAGTTGAGGTAATAAATTGTTCAGCAAAACAAAAATATTGTTGTCGTTTAAGATCAATATAATTATTCTTTTTTGAAAATGACATGTAAGAACATAACTGAGTTAGACCTTTTATAGAACTTAGAAAAAATTGTTTGTTAAAAAACAAAACAGTAAGGAGAAATCTTTTTCTTTCTGAGAGAAAATTTTTCTCATTGGTGGAAATGATTCAAACTTTTTTCTCCTTAGAAACATTTTTCTTTGTCCTTGAAAAACAAAAGTCATTTTTAGAAAGTAAAATTAAAAACTACAAAAACTACAAAAATCATTTCTATCATCAGTATAAAGTAAATAGATTTAAAATAACGTTCCTTGTGAGAAGAAGTTGAATTGTAGCTTTCATTGTTTTTATCTTAAGAAAATTTCAATGGAAAACCTATCAATTCCAGAAGATCAATCTCAAAAGTAATTATACTATTTATTTTAATTAATACTTCAATATAAAAATATCTTTTCAAGAGAAAATATTTTATCAGCAAAATGTCAATTTCTTCTTTGGAGTTGGATTTTAATTCTAATATCAATCATGATTGCTGTTATTACAATAGTTATATTCATTCGATATCAATCATCATTTTCGTCCGTCGATATAAAATATGACATTGGTAATAAGAATTTTCTTTTAATATTAAAGTTAAATGTTGAGTAGTTTCATTACTTTATCCGATAAAATCAAGTAGATAACTGTACTTCACTTAATGAAATATTGATTTACTTGAGATTGTTAACTTAACTTTCAGTTCAAATCAATAAATAGAATTTTCCCAAAAACATTTTTATTGAATTAAAATAAATTTTTGTAATCAAATGAAGATCTTTATGCGATTAAAAGGAGAAAGAAAATTAAATAACTTAAAAACTATTTGCAGGAACAACAACCGTTTTGAAAAAAACGACAAGAGCAACTCGAATGAAAACAACTTCAACCGAAGGTAATAATACAATAATACAATACATAAATAGATATATTTGTTTAGTGACAACATCAATTTCAAGAAATATTTCGAATATAAATTCTTCATGTAAATTAATAATTATTTTTTTTGTTCTTTTCAAAAACTAAAATGATCTCTTCTAGATATTCCATGTAATCCATTAAATTTTTCAAGTTATGCAAGTTATAAAACTGAAAGGGGACCTTGGTCAATAAGCACTGGTTATTTAGATGAAGATTCATTTCTGGATATTGTTGTTGTTAATCAAAATGATAATAATATGGGCATATACTATGGTTCCGCAAACGGAGAATTCCAAAGTGCACAATTCATTTCCACGTCTTCAATTGTTATTTGTGTCGCTGTTAGAGATATGAATAATGATAACAAAACTGATATAATTTTAACTTATGGTGCATCGAATGAAGTTGCCATTTTTATTAATAAAGGCAATCAAATTTTTAACTCACCAGTAACTTATCCAGTTGGAAATTATCCATATTGGATTGATTTTGGAGATTTTAATAAAAATAATTTATTAGATGTTGTTGTTACTAATGATCATGACGGTACTGCTACTGTTTTGTATGATTATTATAATTTATCATTCAGTTATTCTAAAACATATCCAGTTGGAAATGATGTTACAGGTGTATCTGTTGCTGATTTTAATAATGATTTATATCCTGATTTTGTTACTGCTGACTATAGTGATAATACGATTAGCGTTCTTATTAATGCTAAAAATGGAATGTTTAAAAATAGAAAAACATATTTTACAAGTATTTCACCATGGGCTATAGCTAGTGCTGATTTAAATAATGATAATTTTATAGATATTGTTAATACTAATCACGATGTAGGTACATTAAGTGTTTTACTTAATGATGGGCATGGAAATTTTAACGAATGGGATACATATTATGTTGGTGGAAGTCCAAGATCAGTTGCATTAGCTGACTTAAATAATGATACATTCGTTGATATTATTTCTGTAAATTGGTATAATAATTTTGTTTGTATTTTATTAAATAAACAAAATGGAAAATTTCAAACATGTCAAACATTTAGCACCGATTATTATGGTTATGCTGTTACAACTGGAGATTTTAATCAGGATGGAAAAATAGATATTGCTCTTATTACTACTTATTATAATACTTTAAATGTTCTTTTAAATCAATGTTAAAAACATTTCATCGACTATTTTATTAATGACAAATATTCTTTCTAAAAATTTATTTATTCGAATTTTTTTTCACCATTTCAGTTCTAAAGACACTATACACTGTTTTCCTTTATTTCAAAAAATAAACACATATTTAATTAAAAATTTCACCTTCAGTCGTCGAAGTCAACGACAACTGAGACCATCCATTACAGGTCTGATCTGCGTGAATTAACAAAGTTTTTGATTTCTAAATTAGTTTTATTTTTCGAAAAGTGTGTTTTAATTATAATACAAAACTTTTTCCTAAATAAAGAAAAAACAACTTCATGTTGAATACATCTCGAGGTATGATATTCTGTTGCTAGAAAAACCATTTCAATATTCTTCATATATTTTATTCATTTTAAAAAATGTTCGAATGATATTTATTTACTTTTGCTGCTTTTCATCTGGCATTTACGACTTTGTATTTTCTATGACTATATCTTTTTTATGACTTTTGTGAGTTATCTATCTTCAAGCTGTTATATGCGCATTTCTCTCCCTATCGCGCACTCATATTTAATATTGTTTGAAATAGCAGGAAGAGAAACAGATGAATAGCGTATATATTCTAAAATTATAGAACTCTTATCTAGCTCTGTGTATATTATTTTATTTTATTTTCTATTAATGTGCTGATCATATACTTATATAGAGATCGTCATCTACTATCTACCTGGTTTATCGTTGATCGTATGTGTGAGAAATATGATAGAAACGAGATAATCTGTGTTTTAAAATAACGTGACATCATGGAATTGTATATAAATTCTAATCAATAACTGTCACAATTAAGATCTATTAGTTTGACTGACGGTTTTTGGAAGTATGAATTTGAAAACTCGAATAGTTTGCCAATTTATAGGTTCAGACGAAAGATATACTCCTGAATACAAAGTGCTTTCTTGACTATTATTCCATTGAGAATATCATTAGAGCGTGATAGTGGGAGATATGTTTTAAGCAATATCTCATGAGTAGATCAACACTCTTTTGTCAATTTTTCAATATAAATAAATCTCAATAAAATCTACAAAAATGATATCGAAATATTGAATAGATCAGAGTAATTAATTGTGTAATCTCTGATATATTCATTTGAACAGCCAGATTCTACTGCTATTCATATTAAATTTTACAAAATATCTCAATTGTTATCTCATTAGTTAATCTTATAACTGCCTTCTATGTGACACCATTCTGAGAATCTTCTTTAGCTTTAGATCTGACAATAATATCACGAGTAGATATGCTTGTAATTTGTCAATATGTATGAAATTCTAATCAAGAAAGCACTTTGCATTCAGGAATATATCTTTCATTTGAACCAATAAATTGGTAAATTGTTTGAGTTTTCAAATTCATACTTCCAAAAATTGTCAGCCAAACTAGTAGATCTCATTTGTGATAGCTATTGATTAGAATTTATATACACTTTCATGATGTCGTAGACCAGATATCCCCTTATTTCATGATACAAAATATCTCATTTATATCATATTTCTCATACATACAATCAACGACAAAATCAGATAGATACTAGATGATGATCTCTATATAAGCACATCATGTGTACACTAATTGAAAATAAAATAAAATAATATACACAGAACTAGATAAGAGTTCTATAGTTTTGGAATATATACGCTATTCATCTGTTTCTCTTCCTGATATTTCACACAATATTAAATATGAGTGCGCGATAGAGAAAGAAATGCGTATATAACAGCTTGAAGATAGATAACTAACAAAAGTCATAAAAAAGATATAGTCATACAAAATATAAAGTCGTAAATGCCAGATGAAGAGCAGCAAAAGTAAATGAATATCATTCGAAGAGTTTTTAAAATGAATAAAATATATATGAAGAATATTGAAATAGTTTTTTCAGCAGTAGAATATCATGCCTAGATGTATTCAATACAAATTAATTTTTTCTTCATTTAACGAAAACTTTTGTATTATAATTAAAACACACTTTTCGAAAAATAAAATTAATTTAGAAATCAAAACCTTTGTTAATTCACGCAGATCAGACCTATAGTGGATGGTCTCAGTTGTCGTTGGCTTCGATGCTTGGAGTATCAAATGTTGAGATTTGGTACATGGGTAGTTGAGCCGCCTACAGTTTAGCCTGCTGACACTTAAGTTTCATATGAGGAACAATTTAAAGTGATGCAAGAAAATAATCTTATCATATATAATACACATTCGAGATAAGAAACTGAAGAGAGCAGTTGCTTTTTTGACATATAAATCTCTTGTAATTGGATGAAAACGCTTCAGGGTAGATGTGAGCGTGGACTATGAGCGTGTGGTGTGAGTAAAGATAATACGTTCATCTAATACCATTGCGCGTACCGTTACATACCCACACTCACTCTTATTACAACATCGTTAATAAAAAAATTTTTGAAGTTGCATTTCATTAAGACAGTTTGCACCATCTTGAGGGTGTGGGTGTAAGTAAAGCAGAGGCTCACCCACATACACCAACATTCTCAAGATGACCATACACTGAATTTAGGTTGATTGATTGAGACATTTAAGCAATATTTTTAAAAGTTTCTGTATGGAATTAATCTTATGAATACATTATCATTATAACTAGAAATCAAATATGAATGCAATACGTTTAAATATCTTTACAATAGCAAAGATAAAAAGATCATGTCATCTAAAGACGTGTTTATAAATTTTTTGTGTGCGAAGGCGGGTGTAGAGATGTACTGGGCCCAAGTACTGACCGAGTCTCTCGGGCTCTGGCTCGATCAGGGCTCGAGTGTGAAGATGGATGTAGGTGGGTGTGGATGAGAGTTTGAGTGTAGGTATACTGAGTGCGGGTACTATTCTTTTCACTCTCGCTCATATTTTCACGCACAGTCATCCACTACCACACGCATTCTAACACACGAGCCTTACCAAGCCTGAGCCTGACTGAGCCTCTAGCCTAAACGAGCCCGAGAAGCTCGAGCTTGGTACATCCTTAGATGGGTGTGGGAGTGGCATGAGCGAAGATGATACCCGCATCCTACGAGGGAAGGTCCCCAAGTGTGAATCGCCGTTTTGAATCGGAGATAC